ACTTAATTGAGGTTATCTTTAAACCATATGATTTATTGTCTTTGATTAGAAATGAACAAATGTTCACCCAAAGGCAGAAAGTTCCAGTAAAATGTGCCATTTAAGTTTGTATTTGGCTCTTTCACCAAAAGAAAAAAAAAAATATATTTTTTCTGCTCACTGTTGCACAACAGAATGTTGAGCAACATTTTTTTTAATTAATTTTTTTAAATTCCTTGTATTGCATGTGTTACGTTACACCATTATAGGGTTAAAAACATTCATTTCTGTGATGCAGACTTGTGAAAAATGCAGCATTTAACAGATAACATCTCATGTTGGAATCTTGGTGGACGGTTCTTTTAATTTCACTAAAGAAATAAAGCAGAACTTTCTCCACCTGGATGGCGTCAGACTTCAGTAAATATGTGCTCATCCTGATGCACCTTTTTACAAAGGAGGTTTACATTATTTGTTAAAAGTCTCTCAGACTAAAAGTCAGATCTTTTCCTAATGAGTTGATATGCCTGAGCTCCGTTTTCTGCCCCGGCTGAGCTCAGACCCACCTCCCCTTTGACCTTTGACCTTTTTGGAGCGATGGCCTTTGCTGAAACTCTCCTCGTGTCTGCAGAGCAGCCTGGGAAAGGCGTTCAGCCCCGTCCTGCTGGTGGCGCCGGTCCAGATCATGGCGTGGCTCGGCCAGTACCACGACCACTGCGAAGAGATCCTCGGCCATTTCAAGTAAGTGTGACGTCTCCATTTAACCCAGTGCTTCTCAAATAGTGGGGGGCGATACCTGGGGGGGGCGCGTGGGACCCTGGGGAACAGCCTGGTTTTTTATATATTTATATTATCTATAATGTGTAATTACGCATCCACTCCAGTAGGGGGCAGTGGCGCTCTCATCGTTACTTCAGTGCAACATTTTACGACCTACCTGCCTTCTGTCTATAGCCTCCGTTATTCAACATAACAACCCCCAACATGAAAAAGTTTTTAACAGGGATGAAAAGAAAAGCGGAGAGAGACAAAGATAATGAGACAAAAGAAAGTCACCCGAAAGCTAACTGTTTTATACAGTGGGGGAAATAAGTATTTGACCCCTTGCTGATTTTGCAGGTTTGCCCACTTACAAAGAATGCAACGATCTATAACTTTAATCATATTTACATTCTAACAGAGAGAGACAGAATCCCAAAGAAAATTCCAGAAAA